TCTCAAGTCTTTTTCATACCCTTAAATACATAAAGGAAATCTGTCCTCTGCCTATATTAAAATATTGCAGGTTTTTCCCTCCATTTTTTTTAACTTTATGATGAAATATAATCAAACTAGCCTTTTCAAAAAGGGCTTGTGACTAGGAATGGTGGCACACATCTGTAATCCTGAGAAGGCTGAGGCAAGAGGGTCACTCAAGGCCAACCTGCACTACTCAGTGAGATCCTGTCTCAAAATACAAAGGTGGGCAGGGGCAAGGGTTTTGCGCAGGTGTAGAACTCTTGCCCATCATGTGCAGACACTGAGTTCCGCCCCAAGCAGGGGACATGGTGGGACAGAAACAACAGGACTTTTCAACTTGTTTCCCAGGTTAAGGTCCAGCTGTCCAAACAATACTAGCAAACTGAGCAGCAGGGCTCTTTTTAGATGCTGTGAAACTTTGAGATTACCAGCAAGCTCAGCATCAGCACAGCAGACACCAGCGTCAGGGTTGTAGAAGCCCTGAAACACACAGCACTCAGGGTTTCGTTCTCTAACACACACAGTGTCTATCTGCGGAAACAGCAGGAAGACAGAAGCTTCAATATCAGTGACTTTGATGATACTCAGGTTTCTGATTATGACCTAAAACTGGATTATCTTAAATTCTGCTAAAATATTTAAAAACATACAATAATGGCAGTGTTAACAATAACCACTTACATAACATATATTTATTTATTTGACTTAAAATACAAAATCTCCACAATGACTCATGTCCTCAGCTCTTTCTATTTTATTTTATTCTTTTATCATAAAAATTCTTTTTTTTTTTTTTTTGGTCTTTTTCATTTTTCTCGGTACCAGGGATCCAACTCACGACCGCCTGCTTGCAAGGCAGGTGCTTATGCTGCTGAGCTAAATCCCCAGCCCCCAAATCCATTCTTTTAATGTGACCTTTATAGCTAATTATGTAGATTCCACCCTTAAGGCTCCTTCCAGCTCTTTTAAAAAATCTTTTATTTTAAGCCAGAAGCTTAGTAAATCACTAAATTGTCCAAGCTGACCTCTGTGACCCTTGTGCCCAGAATGCTAGGATTACAGGGAAGGGCTGCTATGCCTGGCTCCAGTCTTACAAGATAACTTCATCATTCTGACCACTGTGTGAAAAGGCAGGCAGAGATTTTAATCTCTATTTACTCCTGAGGGAAATAATTTGGTGGTGGTTACTTTTCCATTTATTTAAACAGCAAGGCAGCACCTAACTCAACCCTAGATCTTAAGTTTCCAAATGTTAACACACTGCCTTCATGCCAGGTACCATGTACTTTTCCTATAAAGATAAATGAGAGCCCCTCTGCTCAAGGAGCTTGAAGAAACATGTCAATGAGATATTAGGGCTGATAACACCCTTAACTCTGTGTTTGGAAGGAGCAGGCTGAAGTGTAAACCCAGCCCCTGGCCTGAAGAAAACATCAGAGGTCACTGCAGCTAAACCAGTAGTACTAGCTGGTTGTGCGCACACTTGTAATCCTAGGAGGTTGAAGAAGGAAAGATCACAGAGCTGAGACCAGCCTGGGTTACAGAGTGAGTTCAAGGCCAGCCTGATCTACACAGCGACAGCCTGTCTCAAAATAACAGCAAAAAACCAGTGTCAGGCACAGTGGCACAACCTTGTCACTCCAAAACTCAGGAGGCTGAGGCAGGAAGATTGCCATGAATTTGAGGCAATCCTCAAATTCATGAGTCCACTGGGCTACAGAGTGAGTCCAAGGCCAACCTGGATTATGGAATGAGACCCTGTCTCATAACAAGTGCAGGATCAATGGGCTGGAAACTAACCCTGCAGGGCAGGAGTCACCTCTCACCCATTGCACCTGGCACGGCCAGCTCTGGCCAGTTAGCACAACTTTAGCACACTTCATTAACTCAGGAAATACTCGCTGGCTTCTAAACATACTGACTTAGCCTTCTAGATGAGGTGAGATAGGAAACAGTATCAGACCCCATTCATTTTCTCCACTGGCTGAACTTTTGCAGGCTATACAGACAAAGCATCAAACCACTCAGCCTCTACGGCAAAAGAAGTCCATCACTGTTTTTGGGTATAGCTGCTGCCTAAACATATTTAGTAGCAAAATAAAGATTTTGAGCTATACTCCATCCATTACATTTCAGAACTCTCAAAGGGTTGGTTATAAAATACTTCAAAACCGAATCCAGTTCAACTGTCACAAAATACAATCATTTTATTCTTGCTTCTTTCTCATTTAAACAAATCCCTCTGTTTCTACAATAAGCAACTGTACAGTTTCTTATCAACAGGGCTTTCTTTGTGATACTTTCTTGAGATGACTCCTTGCCCACATCTCTTTTATAGGTCTTTTTTCTTTTTTCAACACTAACAATCATTTATTTGCAATATAAGAGTTCTGTAATTCTGGGGATATAGCTCAGCGGCACAGTGTCTGCCTGGTAAGTGCGATGTCCTGAGTTTGATTGCAGGCACCCATTTAAAAAAAAAAAAAAAAAACTCTGTAACTTTTAATATACTTGAGAACAAAAGGCAAATATGAAAATTAAAATATAAAACTCCACAGAGGTCAATTTTAAATCATGCCAACAGAACACTTGGTCCCAGGGCTGACATGCCCTATTCCCCTTGTCCTCCAGTTGACAAGGGGACTGGCACGCTGGTTAGCAAGCCTTATATTTTTTCAAACACAGGCAGAAGAGGCCAGGTTTAAATGTTTGTGAAAGTAATTTCTGTGGATGACTGCATGCTCAATGTATTAGAGTCCTAAACTCATAAAGGAGAGCTGCAAGTTTCTAACAAACAAGTGAATGTAAAGCCCTGCCAGACACGAGCCTAGAAACTGTACACAGTAACCCATGCAGACAGCCTGAGGGGCAGCGTCATCCCCCACAGCAACCAGTCTCACTGGTTGTGACAGCACAGGGCTGCTGCGGCTTCCGCGCTGCCTCGGTTCACCTAAATGCAGCTGCATTCTACATCAAGTTATGCATAGGTTACTGAAAGAACTGTGTGGAAGAAATCAGCCTACCTCCAGCCTACCAGGAAATAGTCATTTACAAAGCTAACTCAGCCTATAGTACTGGAAACAGACTACGGACTGCACTTTTTTAAAAGGATAAAAAAAGTACAATAGCACTTAAGAGAGAGATAAGCCTTCGTCTGACACTGTGAACACATTTAACACTGCTGAACTGCTCACTTCAGGACAGGTGCAAACAGGAGGGCAGGTGGTGCAGCTCAGGGTACAGGCTGTGGGGGTGGACAGAGGACGGGCTTCTGCCTCCAGCAATTAAAGAGAAACATGGAGAGAGACAGAAAGAAAAATGAGATGATAAACATTATGTATGGAAAAAGGCTGGGAGTGTAGCTCAGTGACACCATGTGTGAGACGCTGTGTTCAAACCTCATTACAGCAAACACAAACGCACACGCGCACGCACAAAACAAACCAAAGAAACAATTCAAGTAGACTTCAAACTTCCTTCATGTTTTTATACGAACAAAGTTATGAGTTAGTGATTACTACGTTCCTGGGACCATGGGGATAGAGATACAAAATTCTTCTTTTCAAGAAACTCAAAGTTTAGAGAACCAAAATTTGAATTATTTTTTAAAGAGTTGTTTTAGGTCATATATAGCTGAGTATCTATTTACCACTTCTTTCTTAAATATATGCACACAGAATATACATATAGCTAGATATATGTCTAGATAGACATGCACAGCTATATAGATAGATGGATAGGTAGACAGACCGACAGATACAAGCAAACAAGTGGAGAGAGATGCTTAGATGTCCACTGTCCCTCTGGGTTCTTGCTGAAAGTCTCTGAAGCTCAATGTGAATGACTTAAAGACGCAGTCAGACGGGCTGCAGTGAAAGCCCCCCATCTCACACACCTGAGTAATGAGCAACAAACAACAACATGCTCAGATCCTCACTTAGGAGATCCATTAGACAGACAAACAGACACATACATACATGCACAGACAGACAGACAGAATAGCGTACTGACCCATGTCACCCCAGAAGATAATTTGTGGAACTTAGAAGGCAGAAGTTTCATGACTGAGCCATCCTATTTCACTTCTGTCTTTCTGTTCCTCTCACCACTCTTAAACTGATGAAATATTGCACTCACCCTGAAACCTAGCTTCCAAAGTACAAAGGACCAGTGACCAGCAACCCGCCCACCACCAGCAACTCGAGGTAGACATGGAGCACAGTGACCTGTCACCCTCAAAGCAGTGCCCACACACCACCTCCAACAAGCGCTAACTTTCCAACCTGAGAGCCAAAAGTGGACAGATGCAATTGGTTGTTTTCCAACTAGCAATAACTCAGAAACAGAAATGTTGGGGTTTTTTTTACCCAAATAATTAGTATAGCTACAAGAAAAAAATGTGATAGATACCCGAAGCCGCACATCTTCTAAAGCCTGATCAAACCTCAAGAAATGAGCCCTCTGCTTGGAGCACCTAGCAAATTGCTGTATTCATATTCAACATAAGTTAACTTTCCTCTCCACCACTTCATGAATCTGATCTGAGAGCAAAAGAATTGGGGTAGTAGCCAGCTTCAGACAAACAAAGGTAAAATCCTGCTGCTGGGTCCTTCTCTTCACAACCCTGAAGCCACCGTCCTTGTCACCAGAAGGCACGCCCTGACTGACACTATACATTCCTTTTACTACACCCGCCCATCACGGCCACACACACAGACTCAAATACATGTGGCAGCAGCGGCAGTGCAGTATCTGACCTGCATGTCTAATGAGACAGCAATTACTCCTGCAAATTACTGGCACGTGAGAGGCTATACAGCAACATAAAACAGCTAGAGGAGGAGGCTATTTTAGAAAGGGTAAGATACAGGGAAAACCCAAAGTTTTGTTTTGTTTTTTAAAGACAACAAATTCAGGTACAAGATTTGCATCACCAACATTGTTTCCTTTTTTTGTTTGTAAATTTAAAAACTTACCCTGAAGAGATTTTCCCAATCCCTGGCCCAGCTTCCACCCATGTTTCTGGAGTAAGCGATGTCCAATATTATCCTGACAGACAGAACAGAGAGACAAACCAAAAATATTCCAATAATATATTCTTCCCTTCCTAGGGACACATAACAGGTAATGAGCAAGAGATAAATCTACATATATGCATGCAAAAAAAGGTGCTATACCAAGGTAAATGTGCCCAGTAAGAGGGACGTTAATGTGAAAGGAATGCTGGCCAGTACTGTCCATGGGAAGAGCACAAGGAGAAAGGTCCTTTCTGATGGTGTGCTGGGCAACTTTGGGCCATAACACTTTCAAGGAGCAAAAAGGGGAAGGGAGAAGGGGGAAGAATACATTTATGAAAATTTCAAACTAACATAAAAAAGCATAAATCAAGGTACTTAAACAATTGTATCCACCACCTAGACAGCACCATTTTAAGATTTTTCTTTAAGAAAGAAAATTTACATTGTGTTCAGTTATTTTATGTGTCAGGCTTTCATGATACAAAGTAAGTTAAACTGCCCCACCACTAGAAATGAAAACACAATCAGCAAAATCCAGGCTAGACTTGATTGGTTTTTAACATATAAATATGTAAAATATACTTAACTAGCATGCAGCCAATATTAAACTGAAAAAACAGTGAGGTTAGTAAACCAAGAAATTAAATTAATTAAACAGAAAAAAATGAGCTCAAGCACAGACTGAGTGATGCATTTCAACATGTAGTCTAACAAAACACTAAGATGTTAGAATGGAACAGGCCTGGCAGTAAGTTACAGTCAGAACCGTTAGTGCACAGAGGGAACCAACACACATAATGTCTCATCTTCCCAGCCCAACCAGAACAGCTGCTTCACTGGGAGTTGTGGAGAAGACACCAGAAACAATTACATGTCAGCCTGCCTACAAAGGGTCCAGAGGTCAGAAACTTTTATAGTCCTCTTGTCAAATTTCTTTGCTTTTTATTTTGGATTCTGTTTTTGTATTATGAGGTACCAAGGAAAAACCTAAATAACCATTAATTGTCAGGGGAAAAAATGATGCCACTTATCAGAAAAAATTAAAAATCAAAAGCACAGAGCTGGGGTATAGCTCAGTGGTAGAGCACTTGCCTACCATGTGTGAAGCCCTGGGTTCAACTCCCACACGGGGGGAAAAAGTACACACACACAAAAAGTGTTCAGTATGTACATAATGTATAGTATCACTATTTGAACTCTCATATTACAGAAAATCAACTTATAAAGATACAAAACCTGGGCTGGGGATTTAGTTCAGTGGCATAAGTGCCTGCCTGGCAAGCATAAAGTCATGAGTTTGATCCCTAGTACAAAAATTAAATAAATAAAAATATTATTTTACTGCTCACTTCGTACCAGAGTTAGACAAGTAAATCCCCTACTCCCATCCTGTGGGTTTGGTTTGGTTTGGTTTTTGAGACAGGGTCTCACTATGCAGTTAAGGCTGGACTTGCACTCACTATGTACTCTAGGCTGGCCTTGAACTTTCAGCAAACCTCCTGCCTCAGCCTCCAAGTGCTGGGATTACAGGCCTGCACTACCATCCCCAGTTTGTTTTGTTTTCAAAGGGACAATTAAGTTTATGCCAGCATGCAAACTATAAAACTGGGCTGAGTGGTTGATTATTTCATTGAAGAACAAGGGAGATTAGGATACCTTATTCAAAAACAAAAAATGGAGGCAAACTATAATGAAAAATGTATTCTAAAACAAAAGATACTATGGTGCGAGATACACATGACATGTATAATTATGGTGCACAAAAGGCACTATAAATATTACTTTTGCTAAGAATTCAAAGAATCAGAAAATAGGGGCTGGGGATTTAGCTCAGCGGCATAAGCACCTGCCTTGCAAGCAGGCGGTCGTGAGTTCGATCCCTGGTACCGACAAAAAGGAAAAAGACAAAAAAAAAAAAAAAAAAAAGAATCAGAAAATATCAGAGCATGTATAAGCCCATGTGATGATTTTCACATTATTAGAGATCACAGAAGTTTAACACTACACTGCAGTTGCTTTTCTTCTCCCTTGTATTTCCAGGAAAAAGCATACACAGCCAGTACTGAGCCAGTCTAATGAATAACTACTACTCTTTTTAAAAATTTGAATCTGAGGATGTAGCTAAGTAGTAGTGTTTCTAACATTCATTCATGATGTCCTGGGTCCCATTCCTAGCACCACAAAAAAATAAAAATGAAAAGTCTCAATATATAAGCAATTTTTGTAGCAAAAACAGAAAGGTAAAGAGGCCTTTATTCTCCTATCATGAGGACAAACTTACCTGATATAAAGTCCTTACTATACATAATTTCTACAACTGAAACTCTAAGTAGCTGATTCCAGTACTTTTAAACTACTACTAGACTAAAGCTGTAACTACATTTGACACTAAGTCTTAGGTATTAAACAGGTATTGTATTGTATTTTTGTTATGGTTGTTGATCATTAAAACAATGCGCCCCTTCTGGCTAGGTGGAGATGAGACATTATGCTGACCGTGTTAAATCATGAATGCACTAAAATAAACAGACAGATGAAGCAGTATGCTATTTCCAAAAGCAGTGCAAGTGGAGTGAAAGCATTTCCATACGAACCTGGCTTTAAAAACTGGGCTGTCAAAAGAACAGTTAAATGTAACACAAAGTAAGAAACTGTCCAATCACTAGTGGTCTCTTTTTTTTTTTTTTTGTCTTGTTTTCAATTCACTGCTTGCAAGTAAGGTATTCATTAAAGGAGAGTGAAAGCATAAGTAAATTCACAAGAGTCAAGAGCAGCTGAGTCAAGAGCAGCGTGTGTGACTGACAACAGTGGAGAGAGGCAGATGTTACAGGAAGGGGAAGGAAACCCAGGGTCATACACATCAGCATGCCTTGCAGACCCACTCAAGAGGATGGCTGTCACCTTTGTAAGAGAAAAGCTCCCACACACAGTGGCATGGCTTCCTCCTCTGAACTTAGGTTCACACTTTCTCTGCTTTCCCAAGGGAGGAGAGAGGATAAACCTCCGCAGGCTGCTACACCTTAGCCTGCACCAGGATCCTGCTGACCAGGCTAGGTGAGCAGCAATCAGAAACACAGGACTTTCCCTCCATCTTGACCACCTGGTGGGAAGTGCAGCCCTGTGCCTCTGCAGAAAGGCTGGTGCTTCACATGGGCCCTTCCCCAAGACGCAGGCTCTGTGGGTGTGTGTCACGGCCCAGGGAATGGGCTGAAGAGTGTGCGCACATCAAAACACCTAGCACAGCACAGAACACAGCCCATTGCTCTGCCTGAAATGATCCCCAAACTCACACTGTCAAAAAACAAGGGAATAAAGCACCAGCTGGCAGGAAATGAGTAATTGATGCCCTCTGCCCAAGGGCTGTGATCTTGAGGATGACTCCCAGGGATGCCATCTGTAACAGCAAGTTGGCATAAAGGAACGCACAGTTCCAACAGGAAATCTAGATGGACAGGGGCCATGAGTAGTAACTTGACTTCTAAACTACTATTAAGAGGCGGGAAAAAATTAAAACTAACAGTCACTGGAAGAACAACAAAAATCAGTAAGGTGTAACAGTTCACAACTATAGTCCCAGCTATGAAAGGCTGAGGCAGGCGGATCCCTACAGTCAGCAGTTCAAGACCAGGATGGGCAAGAAGATCCCATTTCAAACAAACAAAAATGTGACTAAAAAAAAAGAAAATCATTTGTCTTAAAATTAATTGTGTAATTAGGAGTTTAATTATATTTCATAAAACCAAATAGATAAAACCACTAGATAAAGTGTTGTGCAGTATGTGTGTGTGTGTGTGTGTGTGTGTGTGTGTGTGTGCGCGCGCATGCGCATGCCTGTATGGGTGAGAAAGACTAGGGATTGAACCCAGGGTCTTTGCACTAAGCCACAGTTGCAGTCCCTCACCTTTTACTTTTTATTTTGAGACAGTCTTACTAAGTCTTTTTTTTTTTTTTTTTTTTTTTGTCTTTATCGGTACCAGGGATCGAACTCATGACCGCACACTTGCAAGGAAGGCGCTTATGCCGCTGAGCTAAACCCCCAGCCCCCAGTTTTACTAAGTCTTACTAAGACAGTCTTACTAAATTGTCCAGGCTGGGCTTGAAATTGTTTTTTTCTGCCTCGGCCTCCCAGGGTTGCTAGAACCACAAGCAGGCACCATCATGTATGGCTTTTTGCAGGGAGGGGTTAAAAATAGGTTTGCAACTAACAAAAATGCAGGGCAGTGTTGGGCTGTTTACTTGAATATCCCTTTGAACTAATTTCTTTTTTTTTTCTTTTTTTTTCCTTTGGACTAATTTCTAAGGTGAAGACATATGCTTGGGGCAGTGAGCAAAGGCTAAGTCCTGTGCGACTCCCTGCTCTCCTGAAGACTCAAAACAGAGGCTCTGGGCGGGGCCACTGGCTGGAAAGGAAGTTCTAACAGGGATCAAATCATCAAGTTGTGCTGAAAACTTCCATTTTCTCTACCAGCCTTAAAATTTAGAAACAGAAGCAAAAGGCCAGCCTACACCTTAGCCTGCACCAGGATCCTGCTGACCAGGCTAGGTGAGCAACAACCAGAAACACAGGACTTTCCCTCCATCCTGACCACCTGGTGGTGCCCTGTGCCTCTGCAGAAAGGCTGGTGCTTCACATGGGCCCTTCCCCAAGATGCAGGCTCTGCGGGTGGCTGGCCTTTTGCTTCTGTTTCTAAACTTCAATGAACAATGAAAACACTGCATATCCAACCTCTGCTCCTCTCTGCTTATGTGAGAGGGAGAGAACTTTCAAATGGGAAGATCTTTGAAAGCAAGAAATAGGCATCATGAACAACTTCCCATATACTGAGAACAACACTAGCAAGCAAAACCTCTGGCAACTAACTATTTCAGTCACTCCTTGATATCTTAGTAAAATTTTTTTTTTGTCTTTTTCCTTTTTATTGGTACCGGGGATCGAACCCCACGACTGCCTGCTTTCAAGGCAGGCGCTTATGCGGCTGAGCTAAACCCCCAGCCCCACCCCTTGATATCTTTATTTATGAATTAAATATC